GGAGGCAGCCCTAGGGAGGCTCAGGGTGAAAAATGTGGGAAGGTTGAGCAGCTGGGCTGCAGAGGCTCGGTAAGTAGGTCAAGAGAGCAGAGGCGAGTAATGACCAGCACAGCAAATGGCGTCTCCAGACCTAGAGGAGCAGAGGGACAGGAGGCATGGAGGCACGAGAGTGAGATGCTAGTGTAGATGTCTCCCCACTGCACCAGGCGAAGCCTGCAGCAAGCCCTGCAAACGCTTGTTGGGGAAGGAAGGATGTGGGCATGTTCCCAACATGCACCAACTCTGCTGGGTACTAAGCCGAGCTCAGGCTGCACCTCTGATCTTACAGCACTGTAAGGGGGTGAACTTCCTATTTCACAGCAAAACTATGAAAACAGAGTGCAGAGGTAACTTGCCTGAGGTTGCACAGTGAAGGACAGGAACCTGATTCAAAGGCCGGGTCATGGATGGGACTGCACGCAAGCGCACGTGGTGAGTGCCACATCCCGTGGGAGTCGGTACTTTAAATCACGCGGAAATGATGTTGGAGATGGCAAAGGCTCTGAATGGCTCTCTCCCCTTGTGGAACTTCAGGCTCTGCTTTGCAACTTCACCTTGTGTAACTAGCGGCTGTGAAGGCTGTGAAGATGACTCATCCCTTAGCACCAAAGGGGCTCGGGAGGTTTGAGACACCCTGAGGGTCACTTGTGTGGCATCATGGGGGGAGGATGATTCCATTTCCATAGGGGAAAGTGGAAAGAGGACGCACCTTGGCAGTTCCAAAGCCTCACCTGACGTGCACGAGCCAATGGCAATGCTGAGCCAACACCTGGTCCTTGTGTACAAAACAGAGACAACCATGATATGGATATGCCTTGGGAGTCCTGTGAGCAGAGAATGGAGGTCTGAGCGCGCTGGCCTCCAGGAGGGCTGCCAACTGCTGCCGCGTCTTGTCCCCTCTCTGGCAAGAGCAGATGGTCCATATACTGACTTGGGGCTGTGTACAGTTCTAAGAGTTGGTCCCAGAGCCCTATCCCTACGAACTCATTGACTCTTTTAACACATTTTATGGAAAGGTTAATACACTTGACTCAGGGCTGTACAATTTGTAAGAGTGAAGCTAGGAATCAGCAGATGGCATAATGGTCATGCTGCTGGACTCCCACATAGTCGATCATGGTTTGAGCCCCGGACCTGGTGGCTCAAAATTCACACCGGGCACTTGTATGTGTCCAAAATTCCAAAAGGAGAATGGAGGGGATAGGATTGTGGCGTGGCCATCGTGCACCCCCCCCCCCCCCCCGGGGCCCCCGGGGCAATTTTTTTTTTCCGGCCCCGCCGCGCCCCCCCCCCCCCGCCGGGACGCTCAGGGACAATTTCTCACTTTCTGTCTCTCTATCTCTCCAGCGAGCACATGTACCCTATAGGAAAAATCTTTCTTAGAAAAAAAAAAAATAAACCTAAAGGAGACCTGAGTTCCAACCCCCCAGGTCTTCCCACTAAGTGCTTACCAGTCAGCCTGGGCTGATCTCTCAGCAAGGGGCCTACCTGGCGCCTACCCTGCACCGGAGGGTACATCCATGCAGGCAGGGGGATTTTATCCCCACTCAACCCTCACTCCCAAGTGATCACTGATGCTACTCACCCTCCATCTGACTGAGGAGGCAAATCTGGCGGGCAGAGGAAATCGACCTGTGACAGACTACTGCTGGAGATGTCAACCACGCTCCTGGCCGGAGGTGCCATAGGGTGAGAGCTGCTCCACCTTGGCTCCTCTGAGCCGGCTGATCACAGGACATTCAACACAGAGTTTCCCACCCATCCCATACCGCGGGCCCTCCTGAGCACTGGGGGCAGGAGACTGGACGGCCTGTCCCTTTAGCCCATTAAAGGCCTCCCACACGGGGACATTGCATTATAAAGACATTTTGTTCTGTTCAATTAACTTTCAAGCACACAGGCGTTTTTTCTCCTCCTAGAATTCAGTGATGGGAGGTGTGCCTTGCAAAGGCCAATGCCCTCCTCAAGTCTTACCGACCCACTGAGGCTGGACAGACAGGCAGTCTAGGGAGGTCTCTGGGGATGGTAGGTCATGCCCAGCACCAGGTAGGAACCCTCCAGCTGAACTCCAGCTCCAATACCTGGTCAGCTCAGCAACCTCAGATAGCCTTCCTCATCTGTAAAATGGGGCAGCACAGTTCTTTGTCTTTGAGAATCCTGGAAGTGAGGGAGGGGACCATGTGACCTTGCTTGTGAGGGTACTGCATGGTCATGCAAGAGATACTACGTGGTCAACCTCTTTCTTCTTGGGAGTATAGCACAGGGATGAAATGAGGCTCAGATCTCCATAGGAGTAGCACTCAACCCACTAAGAGCTTTATTTTTATTTTTTTAATGGTAATTTTTTCTGCTCTATTCTTTGTCCCTATCTGGTGCTCTGACCCTTCTCACTGTCTTCTCTTTCCTTAGTGACCAACAATGTCTATTTTTTTTTAATTGCCGGAGGGTGTGTGCATTCACTAGAGAGAGAGACAGAGAGATGGAAGAAACAGGAAAATGGAGAAAGCATTCCTCTCCCTAAAACGGGGCATGGTTATGCTGCAATCCCTTCTCTAGTCCTCCGTCCTGTTGGAATTTGGGGCACACATGCGCATGTGCCTGGCATGTTTTTCAAACTGCTACAGCTGGGACTCAGAATGCAGTTGGCCACATAGGATCCAGCTCCCTTTACCACTAGACTATAGAGCTGACCTGATCAACATCTTGTATCAGGGAAGTGCAAGCCAGTTTTGCAAGCGTATCTGTGTTGTGCATTACAGCTACATATAAAACACTACTATTTTCAGTAAAGAAAAGGAATAGTCAAAACCCTAGAAGGATGACTTATTAAGATAAATCTGCTTTCTCTTACTAATTCAGGTAATGAGAACATGGTCTTTGGATTCAACTGCTATTTGCTAAGCTCCCTAACTGTGACAGGGAATCATTGTCCTCCCAGTTTTATAGGCAAGACATGCAGATTGAGAGACTAAGAGCCTTATTTTTATTTTTTTAACATATTATTTCATGAGAGAGAGAAAGAGAGAGAGAGAGAGAGAGAGACGGGAGAACACATTCTCAACAGGGCATTGATGCCACGATCCAACCCCAGCCTCTGCTAGCCTTGGATCACGGGTATGTGTGTGCCTGGTGTACTCAGGGAGGTCTTTGGGAGTGATCCTAGAACTTGTCCAGGAGGGTCTGCCTCACAGAGCATTGCGATTTCCCACTGTGCCACCATCTGGCCCTGAGACTCGGAGTTTTCTGATACACTATGACCTGGAATTTGTTCCAAGAACCTTCACTCCCTTTTGTTTATTGAGGCAGTTTCTGAAAGTATGGACTGAACTATATCATCCCTTGAATTTGGAAAGGTCCACTCTGAGCTTATTCTCCACTCATGCAAGGAGAAAGGCTTTTCCCACCTCGCAATAGTCTCTTGTTTCTGACCCTGGAATCTCATGTGTCTTGCCAGGATCCATAAAATGCTGCAAGGCTGACATGTAAGTTAGTAACAGCGGGATAAACTCAAACCCCAGACCTTATGCTTTCTCTTGCCCTCCTGCACACTGTTCTCTGCTCATACCTCCACCTACCCAAATGTGTGGGTTCCCTTACACCTAGAATGAAATCCTAGGTTCTCATCACTCATTGCCTATAAGATCCTGCACACATGAATGGGTCTCTGACAGCTCCCTGGCTTCATTTCTATGTCTCTTCTTGCTCACTTCCGTGAGCTTTGCCAGCCTCCACACTTCTCTTGAACATGCTGACAGAGGACTGGAGCACAGACTCTGTGCCTGCCCAGAATGCTCACGCTTAGACAACAAAGTCACTGGTTTACTCAGTCCAGGATGATGGACCAAATGTCAGCTCCTTGGAGAATCTTTCCCTGAACCATGAAGTGCATCACCCTCTGCATTTTTCCCTACTTGGTATTCCTTATCATACTTCTGATTAATCATACTTCTGATTAACCTACATTACATACTTATGTCTAGTCAGCATACAGTTGAGTTACTCGATGTCAGAGACTTTTATTTTGTTCCCCCACTGTGTTCCTAGGAGAATAATCATAGACCATCTTTAACAATCACCTGGAAGGTGGGCATCATCCTTATTTTATAGTTGAGGAAACAGGTAAAGAGGAGTTCAGCAATTGCAATTCACCACCCAATCTCACAGTAAGCGTTAGACCTAGGAGCCACAACCAGAACGTTGTCAATACCAACCTGCTGTTCAGAGGGGTCTCCGTGGGCCTCTTGCACTCTTATACATCCTGTTGAGTGGACCCAATAATGCAAAGCTCTGACTGCTCTGTACCTGGGTTGTATCCGCAGCAACCAATCATGACACATGCGGCAACATCTCTCTGGGACAAAAAGCTGGCTTGCTTGATGTTCCCTAGAAAGTAGTGGATTCTCTCAGCTCAGGGTTCCTAAGTGCAATGCACTGCATGCTCAGGCATATTTCTGGGACCTCTGCCTGCCCTCTGTAGAACACAGGGGCCAAGAAGATCTGACATAAACATAGTGCTCATGCTGATTGTTGCCATGTGAGTGGTAACATCCTAGTGTCTAGCCCAGGAGTCTCATGTCTTCTGCCAGCCTCCAAGAAGCATTCGTAAATAAATACATTAGGTTGTAACGGGATAAAATCAAATCCTAGATCTTAGAGCTCTGCTGTTCTACTCTGCATATACTAATTTATTAACCATAAAATAGTCTTTGTTGATGGCATGATTTTCTGTCTCATGCATCCTCCAAGCTGGTGAGCTTCCTGCCAGGGCCCATTTTCCCCAGGAACTCTCCACTGGTCTCCATCTTCTGCCCTTCTTCACAGAATTTATATCATTCTTGGATGTATTAGATGGAATAGATCGGAAGAAAAATCAATTTCACTGAAGGAGAGAGGTACTAGTTTTAGTTAGCCCACATAAAGCATGCTAACCCAATGAATTAGGGAGAAGATATCGAAGAAAAGAGGCAAGCTAGATGGTGAACGTTCCTGAACGTTTACGTTTTTCTAAATGTGAGAGTGAGTGGAGCTAAGAACTCTCTAGAGTTTGAACAAATAAAGTGGTCAGGTTGAGCCTGAGCTCAACCAAGTACATGGTACATGTGTGTCTTGGTTCTACGCTCCTGATACTATAACCTGGGCCTTGGCCCCTCATGAGGACCTGTTTAATGAACAGCTGGACAGAATTTAACCTGACGATGCTGACTGATGAAAGGCTTGCTGGTCGACCACTGGGCTGCGAGCTCCCTGGGGAGAAAGCAGGCAGGGCTGGGCTCAGAGTCCCTCCGTGCAGGAGCTTTTGGAGCATTTCTTCTCAGAAACTTTCAGAAGCTCACAGACCAGTAACCAGGCAGAATTGCTTTCTGATTATTATTTTTCCAGCTGAATGAGGTTCCGTTAATGGAAGACTTAAGAAGTCCCTCTCAGCCCTGAGGAAACAGAGACATTCTGCTGTTGCCAAAAATTCTGGCTCTGCAGCCACGGGTCCCTGGTCAGAGAGAGATGAGGGTGTCCTGAAGTTCTGGTCTGGATGTTGGAAGCAGGACCATCAGAGTGGTGCCCTTCCCAGGGCATCTCTTTGGTAAGAGGTCTACAACATCCAAAAGGAGCTGATAGAGGGTTTGTTTCTCGTGCCTGGTTACCTGGCTTGGTGGCAAAGACTTGTGGCATTTCAGGGTCACGCCAGAACACATGGATGGCCATACTTCTCTGCTTCATTTCCTGAGGCTCAGGAAGGGGACTTGACTCTGGTTGTGCACTTGTCTGCAGTGGTGCCAAGACTAGAGCCTGTGGTCCCAAACTTCCTAGGGATGTCCTTTCCAGCCCACTCTTTCTCATGAGCTGCTCCAGGAGGCAGGTAGGTGCCAACACCACCACCTGATGGAGAGAACCAACCCCGCAGACAGACAGGCTGCCCTGATCCGTGTGCTACAGGTCGTGCCAGGGCAAGGTCTGCCTGCCTTCACCCACCCTCCACAGCCCCCGGAACCATGCCTGTTGCCTCTCTCTCCCGAGGTCAGCATGTGGTCAGCAGG